TGTAGGAACTTTTGTTGGAGGACACAGGTCAGCATGGGCACCCTGACCGATCTGTGTCTATACAAACAAACTGCGATGCACTGTGTGTTCAGACACCTTTCTATATAATAATGTTATGGCTGATCAGTGTAAACTTTATCAGTGAAGCTAGAAGCCACCTAATTCAATGACTAGCAGAGGAAAGGTGGCAACAGGTGGGGCAAACTACAGCAATGAACAATACAAAATACCCATCATTTAATCCTGCTTTATATGGACAATGTTTGTAAAGCCAATTCTGGATAGTGAAGGGAATGGTCAATACCCCAGACAGTATTATTTTTCTGACAAAAACACAAAACAAGGGGTGCCTTCCCTAGTGTAGCTATCTTTATTAATTGAATATAAAATCAAGAATAGTACTCACAATATAGCAATGACGATAAGCCTTCAGTGAACTGAAGACAATCCTTAGTCCAGAAGTAGACCAGACAGAGGGGGTACCTACCTGAGGGTTTACATTGTGCAACAATTCAAACGGAGGGGTCTAATATGGCGCTAGTGGTAATATTTTTCGGTCGATGTCCCATTGGGGAGATTGCCCTTAACTTTCTGTCCCAAAGACGGAGCAGGATGTAAGAGAGGATTTCTCAAAGCAAGGGAATATCCCTTCCAAGACAGCTGTCACCAGTATAGTTTCCCCCATTGCAAGATATCCTCTCACCCCCTGTTCCTAAAAATGTGGGATTACGCCATCACTTACAATACTGGACCAATACTGACAGCAATTAAAACCAGACAGTTTATATCCCTTGCACATTCTATCCAAAACTTAAAACAATTAATTTTGATTTACATGCACATTAAAGGATCTATTCACACTATTATATTGGTTTAAACCAGGTATACTTCTGTGTGCTGCAATGCCATTCCCTTTAAATGGCACCCCTATACACTAATACAGCAGCGGGTAACACGGACACTGCAGAAAACCACTATGCCTTGTGGTGTGCTGGGTTGAAAACAACTGGGGATCTCTTTTTTTGTCTGCATTAAAAACGTATGGGCTGCCTAAACGTAACAAACATTAATGCACCACAAAAGGTGTATATGGGTCCTTAGAGAGGTAAACATTTTTTATACACGCATGCATCATACACACACACTGTTTAGGACAGAGTGAGAATTGTTTTCCTGAAAATATACAGACCGTAAAATCTTTTCTTTCCCCAATAAAATAACATAACTGCAAAAGGTATGCATGATGCTCCTATGGTGCCATGTGTCGCAGTGTTTGCACAGAGTTGGGTAAAACAAAACAATTTACACAGCAACGCTGCCAGCTCATTGCCAGCTCGGCTCCTGCTTCCAAAGTACAGTAGAGCAGGTGCAGCTTCCACGAGGAATACTCTGACCTTTCTATGCCCACCTGCTCCCGTAAATCTGCTCTCTCATTAAGGACACAGAGCAAAAGGAAATTTAAAAAAAGTGTGTTATATATGGCCTTATACAAGCATATCTAGATGTATGTAAAGATATTAACGCTTCTCAGAATCAAGAAAGCAGTCAGCCAGAATTAGGAACCAATAAGTCAGTCAGTGAAGATGAGAATTTACTGTGCTCAAAAGTGTGTGTGTGTGTAAAGAGTTAAGGTACACGAGGCTGTCCACTGAGAAGATAAGACTTCTTATGAAGTCTTAAGAAGTCTTATGATCTGCCTGGAAAACTACTGAATTAGGAGAGTCTCTTGTCTATAGGGCAGGGTCAGACAGTCCTAACAGTTCTCAAGTAGGAAAGTACTCATGGAAGTTACAAAACATTGTATCCCATCACACCTTTTTCATCCTCTATAGCTTAAACAGAAATGTGCCTGTGACCACAGTATTCCTGTCAGGTCTGAAGTTGGGACAAGGGACATGGCAAAATGGTCATATTGAGCTTAAATATAGCTATTCTGTGAAGTCTGTAGTCCACATCTGACCAGAACATCTCACCTGATAACTGCAAAGATTAGCCAAGAGGAATCAGGGATAAAATTCAGTTAGGATTTTAAATAAAAAAACAACTGGTATGTATGGAGTCATCTGGTAAGAGGGTTTGAGTGTTAGCAGGCTCTACGATTGTATGCATTTCCTTCCAGAGATATAATAGCATTTAGAGGCAGCATCCAAGTTTGACTAGTAGATACAGAACACAATTTGCCACCTTTCTGGGCAGAAAAAATAGTTTCGTAACTAGCAGTTGGTTTTGTACCAGTATAGGCGTTTCTTCTGTGTAACCCAAAAAACAAAGTAGAGGGGTTCAATCACAGAAGGTTCAGCGAATTCCGTTTGAAATTCAGTTAATCCAAACTTAGCAGCAAATCCCATTTAGGTCTATTGGAGGGCGAATCCAGTTAGTAAATTCTGGTCAATTTAGGGCTAATAGGAAACTACTGTCAAAAATAAAAAAAGAAGACGACGACATGGGGACAAAAAAAAAATATAACCATATTCTTTGACAATTAGCGTGACTTGCATACAACAGCGGAACCCCAACCAGTATGAAAAAAGGAAAAAAAAAAAAAGCTTTCTTCAGGTAGTTATACACTGTGTGCACAATTATTAGGCAAGTTGTATTTCGGAGGAATCATTTCATTATTGAACAACTACAGGGCTCTGTCAATCCAAAATGTTAATAAACCTCAAACCTAAATATTTAAGAAAGTAAAAGTGAGGTTTTGGCTTTCTTAGGAGAACATCTATGTGTGCACAATTATTGGGCAACTATTAGTGTGCAGGATTATTATGCAACTAAATGGAAAACAAAAATGTTCCCATCTCACTTGTTTATATTCATCTGTTAAAGTGAGAACAAACAACTCAAAATTTACAAATAAACATTTGACATTTTCAAAAACAAAATCAGTGACCAATATAGCCCCCCTTCATTTTAATGACAGTCATCAGCCTTCCATCCATGGAGTCTGTCAGTTTCTTGATCTGTTGATGTTCAACTTTTTCTGCAGCTGCAACCACAGCTTCCCAGACACTGTTCAGAGAGGTGTACCGTTTTCCTTCACTGTAAATCTCCCGTTTAAGAAGGGCCCACAAGTTCTCAATAGGGTTTAGGTCAGGTGAGGTGTCATTATTATTTCATCTTTAAAGGCCTTTACTGGCTAGCCACGCAGTGGAGAACTTCCATGCATGTGATGGAGTATTGTCCTGCATACATATCATGGTCTTCTTGAAAGACGCAGACTTTTCCCTGTACCACTGCTTGAAGAAAGTGTCTTCTGAAAACTGTCTTATCTTTATTAATACCAGCCCACCAGTACCCGAGCTCCACCTTGCTGGTGTCTGAGTAGAAGTGGAGCTCTGTGCCCATTACTGATGCAGGCACGGGCCCATCCATCTGGTCCGTCAAGAGTCACTCATCTCATCAGTCCATAAAACCTTTGAGAAATCTGTCTTCAGATATTTCTTGGCCCAGTCTTGACGCTTCAACTTAAGTGTCTTGTTCAGTGGTGGTCGGGTTTCAGCCTTCCTCACCTTGGCCATGTCTCCGAGCACTGAACACCTTGTACTTCTGGACACTCCAGGTAGGTTGCAGTTCTGGAATATGACAGCACTGGAGGATAAAGGGTTCCTGGTAGCTTCACATTGGAATATTCTCAAAACTTTGGCAGTTAATTTGCGTCTTTCTTTCTCAACACATTTCTAGCGACCCTTTTGACTATTTGCAACAAAATGTTTGAGGGTTCTGTGGACACACCCCAATATCTTAGCATTTTTAAGAGTGCTGCATCCTTCTGAAATACTTTTTACATTTTTTTTACTTTACAGAGTCAGTTAAATCTCTTTTTTGGCCCATTTCGCTTGAGGAAAAGAAGTTGCCTAATTATTATGCACACATTGATATAGGGTGTTGGTCTTCTAAGGCCAAACCCTACCTCATTACACAAATACAAGTCACCTGATACACCAACATCCAATAAGACTTCAAGCTTATACAGTTTGGAGTTAGGACAATATGCATAAAAATGGTGATTTTGTCAAAATACTCACTTGCCTATTAATTGTGCACACACTGTAGAAGAGATGCCAGATTTTTCATTAAGAGGAAACAGGCCTGGTTTGACCAGCAGAAAGAAATTGGCCAATAGTTTGCTGGGATGTCACTGTTCTCACTGATGCAAAAAACTGTCCTACTGCTGCCCAATTTAGCACACTCATTAGGTGTTAAGATACTGCAAAGGCTACAGCAGCATAAAATTGGCCAGCAGCAGAGCATGTTTAATCAGGGATAATAAGCTGAAATGTACAACAAAGTACAGGCCAGGGTTTTACTACATGAATTAAGATACTGCAGAGTATACAGCAATGTAAAACTGGCCAGCAGCAGCAGAATTTGACTCGGGGATAACGGGCCTTACCAGTGAATGCCCAACTTATTTTTACTATAGGGACAGGGAGTGCAGTGAAGGTTTAGGTGGTTTAGGTGCATACTGTTAATTAGATGGTCAGTAACAAGTGAATGCTGTGTTTTAAGCATCTCAAATGTATATAAAGCATATATGCATACAAGTGTTTCTCTGAAAAATCCCATGTCATGCTTGGCATAGATGCATTCATTACCAGTGTCCCCTTATTCAATATAAATGATGTGAAGAGTCCCTTAAGTTTTTTAACAAGTAAAAATAAAAATACTGGCTGAGAACCTAGGCACTAACATGCAGCTATGCAAGTTGCCACGTGCCACTTAAGTATCCAATGATAAGGGCGTTACCCTTTGACTGCCAAGGACATATCCTACAGGCCATGGCAATCAAAGGGTTAAACAAGCTAGTTTGAAAATTGTTAAGCTGGCTGTACTCTGTAATATAGAAGTGATCTGGGTGTCTGTAAATCCATTAGACCACTTCTACAGCTGGCGGCAGGCAGTCCCTGACCCCCACCTCACTGCAATGGTTCCCAGGCTCACCTGCATCTTCTCGGAGCCCGAGATCTTTGTAAATTGCACACAATGAGGTTAATACTCACGCTTGATATTATTCAATACTTCTTTTAGCTGACTGAAGCTGTGTAGCAAAGGGTCCTGTTCTTCATCCTAGGTAAAATTTTAAAAAAAATGAAAATGAAAGCGAAAACACATAACACAAAGGAAACAAAATAAACACAAGCGTTGAAGGGGTTTTCAGTGTCACACTAAATGTGGACCCCTACCACAAACCCCTCCTTATCTGGTCTTCCCCCAACAAAACCTGTTCCATTGAAGCAGTCACAGCTTTCACTGGCAGTGGGGCACCAAACGCAATTATATCTGAATTGATACATGGTGGCTGCTGATGAAGTACAGTCAACAGGACAAAAACACACAAAAAAGTTTTTTTTAACTGGCAACTCCTTTTCCAGGAATCTTCCGGGACAGTCACGAGAGATGGGCTTTGCCTACCTACAGGAAAAGCTAGGACAGAAATGTTAAGCCCTAACAGCCCTAGCCCTTCAGTATTTCTAAGGCAAACCAAAAGGCCTGAAAAGGACAACCCAAAATAAAATGCCACAATTTGGGGGGTTTCACTACCATCCTAGAAAAAGAGTCATGGGGTAATAATTCATGCTTTCCCCAAGTCATCCTCCAAGATAGTCACGAGAGAGACTACTAAGATGCACATCTTGGCAGTTGATTATGTTTACTTCTGCCATATAGTCTTGCTTAGTCACTGCATGTTTGCACTACATGTATGCAAACTGTATGTTTGCATAGCTTATGAGGAAACCAGGATAAGTACGCATTGATATGATGATTCTATTTTGCACTATGTTGTGACAAATCTATAATGCTTAATAAAAAAGGTACAGTATTAGGTCTTGACCAGGTAGCTGCCTTGCAAATGTGCTTGACGGAGGCGCCAGCCCTTTGGGCCCAGGAGGCAGAAAGCAAGCGTGCGAAGTGTGGATGGAATTCACCATGCTATAGAAACTTTGCAAGTTTGCTTCACTTTATTGGCTCCTCCAAACAGGATGAGCAGAGATGTAGGTGTTCAAATTTTCTGTTTATCCTTGCTTCTAAATATTACAATATATGTTTTCTAACATTCAGCGATGCAAAGGCTTCTTACCTCTTATTGCTAGCATTATTGCAAAGTGAGAAAAATCATCGTCTGTGAATAATGAGATGTGAAGGATACTTTGAGAATGAGCATAGGATTCGTAAACAATGTAAAAAAAAAAAAAAGGTTAATTAACTGAAAAATCCTGTAACTCACTAAAGCTGCCTTGCAGAGGTGATGGCTACACAAAAAAAGTCAATTTCAATGGAAGGAATTTTAAAGGAAAGTCTGTGCGCAGTTTGAAGGGTGGTTTCATAAGAGCTGAGAGAACAAGGGTTACGGTAGACAGGATATGGCATGGGTGAGTTTTTGACAGTGCCTTAAAGAATCTCCCTATGAGGAGGAGAGACGCCAACGATTGATCCAGGTAAATGGACAATACTGCAGTTTGTACTTTTAAGGGGTTTACAGAAAGACGTTTATCTGTCCCATTCTGAAGAGATTCTAGTAAAGTAGGTACTGTGCGCCAATCTGCCCTGCCCAACCTGGCCCAGGATCGGTAGACTTTTTTTCTTCAGGTAATTGGCCCTAGTAACTTTGTTCCTACTTTTAAGCAGGTTGTTCACCATCTCCTCATACAATCCCTTAGTTAGGAGCATACTCCATCCCAGAAGACAATCCTTTAGTTAGGCGCATGCTCCATCCCAGACCCATGCTGCTAGGTTCAAGTTCTTCAACTGAGGGTGTAACATCTGTTTTTGAGGTAAAAGGAACAGACAACAGAAGCATCCCCCGCCGCGGCATGTTTTCCTGGGGTCATTTAGAAGCATTTTTCAACCTTTATGTTTTCAGGTGAAATGTTCCTCCTTCAGAGTCATCCACCAAAATGAACCCCTGACATGCAGGCTAGTTATGGGCACGCAGGGAGAGGGAACCCCAAGCACCTACGGCAAATCAAAAAAAGGGAAGAAAAAAAAAAATACATAAAAAACACAGCTGCACTCGTGTGCCTGCAGATAATGCAGAAGACACAGAAACCGAGGGGCTGGAGCTTTTAACTTCTCTGTGGGTGTGTTTTTCTGTAGGTAGGCAGAGCATATATATCATGTGACCATCCTGGAGCATGACTTGGGAAAACGCTGATGTTACTTTCAGAGGGCATGAGAGAGATCTATATGGAGGAGTTGAGATTTTCCTTACAATAAGAATCCCTATGAAATCACAACAGGAATTTGAATATTAGTGGAACTATTACAGTTATAGCTGAACCTGTAATCAGATCTGCCGACAAGGACTTTGCTGATAGGAGGAGAGATCAAGATGATTCACCTTTCTGCTGCTTTTGTACTGTCCAATTACAGGTTGGGGACAAGGAGGTAACCAATCTGTATTGCTCAACTGTACTAGAGAAAGGCTAGGTCAGGTCACTAGCCTGGCTCTGCATATCACAAGACTGCATAGACATACCATTCATTTTCTTAGGTAAAACAATTCTCATATGTATTTTAGCTGCATATTTAGTTGCTTTCCTGAGGTTTGGCTTGAAACTATAGTTACCGCATCAGCAAAACCAGTGAACCACTGTGCTCTCTCTCTTTCTCACTCGTCACCCCCCAACACACACCACCCCAGTATGTTTGTATTCGCTGCTTTCATCTACCACTCCTATGAAGTATCTGAATAATTGATAGCATATGGAAAAAAAAATGGACATGTGTCCCTATTGTTCATCTGCACACCCAAGATATGCAAGTGAATGCCAGGTACTCTGACATGCAAATGTAAGATGTAAGGAAGTCTTGCTTTCCTCCAGCAGTGGCCAGCTGTCATATGCACACAGAAATAAATAGTAACTGAGCAAAACATTTTAAACAAGCACCTTGACATACTTCAGAGAAGTTCTTACCCACTGACATGAACTGTAGACTGACTTGAGCTGTGTTTGTAAAGCATCAAAAAGGTGAAAAGAGGCTGATCTATACAAGCTACAACACACCTAAGTAGTGGGCATTATTTTAGTATTTTAAAATGAAAACCTGCACATAAGCAGTACTCAATTACCTGCGACGGAGGTCTGCTCCGCCTATTGGGTTTAATAGGGCTTTCCAGGCTTAAAAGGAGAACTATGAGGTGAGTGCTTTTCACTCACCTCATAGTTCTAGCCGACCTGTGACAATGAGACTGTCACAGGTCGGCTTAGTAGATCGGGAGGTGAGCGAACACATATTGGCGTTCGCTCCCCTCTCGATCCTGTCATGGCTCTCTGCCGTGACAGGGGAGTGGCTGGATTCCCCCTCCGCGGTCCGATCCGTCAGCACTGACTGGCGGAACGGACGGGGGAGGGGGCGGGTACAGCTGGCTCTGCCTCTACATAGGCAGAGCCAGCTGTCAGTCACGCAGCTGGGCAGATCTAGACATAATTGTCGGGATCCGCTTCAGCTGCGGGGTCTCAGTATATCGCAAGCAGCAGCTCGCGGTATACTGCGGCGTCTAAGTATACCGCGAGCAACAGCTCGCGGTATACTGAGCCTAGGGTGACGGGAGGACGCTAGTTTGTGTCCTCCCGTTACCCTGAGGAGAACTATGGGGAAAAGCCTTAACCCCATAGTTCTCCTTTAACAGACTAGCTAAAGCTAGTGTGTCCCTCCAGAATACTGTAGGTCGAGTAACTAGTGTGCATACTTGTAACATACTTCTATGGAGGGACCTGTGGAACAGCCCAATTAAATAACCACTAGTTTGATGGAAAATAATACAAATGTGCACAATAGGAAATACAAGACATCCCTTGGAACAAGGATATTACAATTCATGTACAGGCTGGATCACAATTATTTTAACGAGAGAGCATGTTTAAACCATATATGCATTTAACGTAGACATAACTGTATGCAAGTCTTACCAAAGGAGTGTGCATGCTCCATCGCGCATTGCGTTTTATGGCGCCAACAATGGTGCTAATTTCACCCTGAACTATGTAGATATTTCTGTCCACCATTTTGACAACCCTTTAAATAAAAAACAAACAACAATTCTGTTAGAAAAAAGCTCAGTTGTGATATCAGTAAAATAGATGCTTGAATATTTATTTAGTAACAAGATTTTTTTTTAAAATATGAAACCATTAAAATGTGACAAATATAATATAATCTGGAAGGAAAAAAAAACAATTTTTGTTCAAATCTCCAGGTTGGGATACATGGGGGAAACCACCTACAAAAACTAGGATAACCACAATATTATTATTAGCAATCCTAAAACTGGTCATACACTTTGCAATCTGATTGAGCAAATTTATTTAGATCCATCAACAATGATGTACCTAACTAGATACAAATGGAGTATGGTTTTGGCAGAGCTTCTACAACATAGTTTTGGTGGATCTACAGAAGAGTGAAAAGAGATAGAATATTCAGATTGCAAAGCGTATGGCTAGCCTAAGAAATCATACAACAATGCTAGCGTGTACTATCAAGAAAGAAATGTCCATAATTAAAGGTGGCCATAATAAAATAAAAAAAAAAAGAACCAAGATGCGTCCGGATCGGAATTTCTGCATATTTTATGCACGTGCGCACATATATGCATGTGTGCGCATACAGCACGTACATAAAAGTTTCCATTAAAAATGATACATTTTGGGATTGCATATACACATGTATATTCTCACATCTATCTATCTATCTATCTATCTATCTATCTATCTAACAAGGTAAATGTTTTTCATCTCTAGCAATCCTTACCCATTATCAATGTGTTTACTATTCACATTACTGATCTTCAGCGGGCATTCTTGGTATATCAAGCCTTAAACCTCTGTCACTATCTGGCTTACAGTTCCTATGGACTGCTGCTGTAGCAGTGCAATAAAATGACAGCGATTCTGCCACTTCCAAAGATGCCATGGCAGAATCCAACAAACGACGGTGCTTGTCCACCTCTCCTCACTCCCAGAGAGGCAGGTTGGCCACACTGACTGAGTTTGGTGCAGAGGAAATCACCTACCAGTGTCATGGGACTATAGCACGTCATTAACTTGAGTCCCTGCAGTGATCCCTCTTGCTAGGCTACAACTTTTAAAATGGGAAGCAATCCGGCAGGATCATGTAACCTTATTTTAAAACATGAACTTACAAGATTTCTAATGCATCTATCAGGGGGTTTCACAACTGGATTGTGCTTTTACCCTTTTCTGGTGCCTTGAAAGATGTGGTCCAAGCTTAGCAAATGTAATGAGTGATGTCTTTCGTTGCAGGTAATTGAAGGAAATAACTATTTCCGGGCTGTGCGCTTGTCATCAGGGCTAATTAGCCAAAAGGTGGTGAAAGTAGCAAAGTAGATGCTGAGCGCTCTCATTATACAACTGATGAGCACAGCACTGAATTTTCCCCGAGCAGAAAATACACAATGGAGACACAAGATTTTGACTGTCAGTGCATCACTCATTGGGAACTAGAAATACATGTTGACCATCATCATGAAAGATTGGCACATGGGTTCAGGTTTGGATAAGAGTTGCTCAACCTGTTAAGTATCTTAAGGATATCATTATGGAATCTTTACAGAGAGAAAACTCTGCTAGCCAGGTTTTAAATCACTGAATCAACAAACTACAAGTGTCCTCGCTTATTGAATAGAGAAGAAGACTGTTGCCAAGGTTGACTGCCTTCCCCAAATGAAAAATGAACCGACCTGTAAAATAGTACATTTTGTAGTTTTAACGTGAACGACAAAAACTCTCTTTTGAATTAATGTAGCTGTTAAGCATCAAAAATGAAAAACACATACACAACAATCAGCCATAAAATGATGACCACCTGCCTATTGTTGAGTAGGTCCCATTTCACAAAAATAGTCCGGACCCATCGAAGAATGGACTCCACTATATGCTGTGGTATTTGCACCAAGTCGTCAGAGATCCTTTGGGGCCACTTTTACATGGACACCTTCAGTCATGATCAGCAGTGGATCCGTGCAACGATCCCCTACCAAATCAGAGAAGTTTGCAACGGATGACATTGTTAGCGATCAGGTCTGCCAAAAACGGAACTTCTGTTTGGTTTTCTGGACCTGGCCGGAGTTGGGGGTAATGATGCAAGTCCATTTAGACCTGGCTGCCCACAGTCTAAAGTTGGCCATACACTTTACAACCATCGCAAGACCTTAGTCTTGCGATGGTTGTAAAGTAATTTAACAAAAACGTACTATCTGCCCATCTTGGACAGGCAGATCGTACTTGCGATCATCGCAAACCCGCCCCGCTGAGGGGCGGGCTTCCGATGACCGCAATGCTGATCGAGCAGTGTGCACACCGGCCCATTCGGCATTTATCTCCCGAGCATGCCACAAACCAGCCGAAAATCGTAAGATTTTCAGCTGGTTTTCGAACATGCTCCTTAGACAAAAGACGTGCGACCATACAGTAAAAACGGTCGCACGCCTGCCATACACTTTGCGATTATCGTACGATCGTGGGATTTCCTGCGATTATCGTGCGATAATCGCACAGTGTATGGGCACCTTAACACTGGGCTTCCAATCAAATCTGCCTGAAAAATAGACAGACAGACCTGATTGGAATACCTCTGTAAAAGTGCTCTAACTCCTGTAATTTGTGAGGTGGGGCCTCCATTGATCGGACTTGGGTTTTTCCAGCCCATCCCACAGATGCTCGATTGGATTGAGAGCTGAAGAATTTAGAGGCCAAGTCAACACTTCAAACTCATTGTTGTGTTCCTAAACTACTCTTGAACCATTTTTTTGCAATGTGGTAGGTCACATTTTTCTGCCAAAAGAGGCCACTGCTATCAGGGAATACCGTTTCCATGAAGGGGTTACTTGGTCAGCAACATTGTTTAGGTAGGTGGTACGTGTCAAAGTAACATCCTCATGAATGACAGGACCCAAGGTGTCCCAGCAGAACATTGCCCAAAGCATCACATTGTCTCTGCCGGCTGGCCTTCGTCCCACAGTGCATCCTGGTCTCTTCCCCAAGTAAGCAGCAAACACACACCCACCGATCCACATGATGTAAAAGAAAGCATGATTCAGCATACCAGAACATTGCTACGTGGTCCAGACCTGATGCTAATGTGCCCATTGTGGGTTCTTTGGTGGCGGGCACAGGCCAGCATGGGCACCCTGACCGGTCTGTGCCTACGCAGCCCCATATGCAACAAACTGCGATGCACTGTGGTCAGACACCTTTCTATCGGAACCAGTATTACTTTTTTCAGCAAGTTGAGCTACATTAGCTCTTCTATTGGCTTAGACTACAAAGGCCAGCCTTTGCTCCCCACATTGCCTTGGCCACCCCTGAACCTGTCGCCGGTTCACTGGTTTTCCTTCCTAGGACCACTTTTGGTAGATTCCTGACCACTGCAGACCTGGAACATCCCCCAACAGCTTTAGAAAGGTAATTTATTTACATCATCATAATCTTCTCCAAAAACAGCCAATGTTTCAGGATCACAGATTCCATGATTTTCTTATGATCGAGACACTATAATGCTGGTGATAAAATGCATCATACAAGTCATTCCTGACTTGGCCATAACTCCACTTTAAAGCGGAATTCAACTTAGCAGCGATGTCTGCAAGCTACCTCGTCTGGGGCAACATCTTCGCCAGGTCTTCTTCTGGGTTCGGCATCTTCAGCCATCTGGATTGGCCAGCCTAGGATGAAGTAACTCTCACATATGCGCACAGAGTTCATTCAACCCGCCACCAAGCAGATGCCAGGATTGTACAGTAGTCAAGATTGTAAACAGCAAGGTAAGAAGCTTTTCTTGCAGAAGAGACATAGGGAGGCTGATTAATTAAAGATTTGAGAATGCTCATACATTAATAGGTGTGAAAATCTACCTAAATGATCCAATCATGTGAAAGAAAATCCCTGTTTACTTATTTTATCACCTCATGGCTACACATGACTAGATAACTGAAGTAAATATTGACACAATTTATACTAAATCCTTTAGTACATCATCTTCAGTATGTCTCCTCTGCAAGAAATAAAAGTTTGTTTAAAATGTTTGTTTAAAACTAAAGTTCTGCTTTATTATAAACCTGTGAGTTGCCTGTGGAGGGCAAAACCAACAAGTTTATTTAACCACTTCAAGACCAGGTGTTTAGACCCCCTTCCTGGCCAGGCCATTTTTCAGTATTCAGCGCTGCGATACTTTGACTGACGTTTATTCCGTCATGCAACGCTGTACTGAAATGAATTTTATACCAAACAAGGGGGCGTGTCTGAGCGGACGTCCGCTCAGATTGAGAGAGCTCCTGGCTGGCCGTTTTTTTACTACGGCCGGCCCGGAGGCAGTTAATGCACTCTGCCCAGCAGCACATACCATACCCTTTGCTCCATCATCCCACAAGCCCTGCTCAGTCACCAGGAGCAAAGGAAATATCTGGCACATCTAAGTGTGGCACAAACTATGAGCAAGGCCCAGCCCCTGTTATTTTAAAACAGGGGTGTCAGTCCAGACCACTGACATAAGATTCGTACATCCGTCATCTTTTTTTTTTCTTTCAAGAAGATTTTTATTTTGTTGTACAATACACTGTAAGATACGAGTACAAGAGGTGCATACATTTATGTGTGTTGACATGACAGTAATTTACGGAATCCCCAATTTCAACAACAGCAGTCTTCGTATTTCCCAGGGGGCACTGTACAGTGATTGTGTGTTTAACGGTTGCCTATAAACATTTAAGAAATAATAAACTAGAACAATGAACATCGCATGTGGTGAATTTATCAGGTGAAAGTGCTGGCGAATGTAAGGGGCCGTGTACTACCTGTACACCACCCAACGCCATGCCTTGGGGAAAGGAAAGGATCAGGAAGTGTGGAAAAAGGGGAGGTGGGATAGGGTTCAGCGTTACTACGTAGATGGGGTTAAGGGAGATTTGGGAGGGATTCAATTCTGTTGAGAGGGCATGTGGGAGGGTATCCTCACCCTGGAGTCAGTGTGTCAGTAACCTAGCATCAAACGATTTAGCCTGTAGATGCTGAATCCAGGGGTCCCAGATCAATTCGAAACGAGGGACTTTATCGTTCAGCTGTGCTGTGATACGTTCATTGGCAAAGAACCAGTGAAGTCGGCGCTCCAGTTCCGCAAAAGGAACTGTGGAGGATTGCCATGACCTTGCCACTATCTGTTTAGCTGCTGTTGGTCCATGAAGCAGGAACTTGTGTTCAGGTGTCATTCCCTCAGGGGCAGGTTAAGTAGAGCGATTCCTGGGTCAGGCGTCAGTGTGAGAGCCCTGATCGTGGACATAAAGGCAAAGACTCTGGTCCAGAAGGACTGCACAGTGGGGCAGTGCCACCAAGTATGGATGTAGGAGCCCACTTCCCCGCATCCTCGGAAGCATTGACCAATGGCCTGGAGTAAACGTCCTCAGCCTGCTAGGCACCAGCGGAAGAGGAGCTTATAGTTGGTTTCCAGCACCTGCATGCTCTGCGAGCTAGACTTGGTCACTTCCCAAATGGTGCTCCAGCTATCCTCATCTATAGGTCTGCCCAGATCTTTTTCCCAGGCTAACATACAACTAGGATTAGGGGGTGCTATGCTCGACAGCACCTGGGCATAGATTTGGGTGATTAGGCCCGGCGCAAAGGGGTCATTCGAACAGGTTCGCTCAAATGAGTTGAACATTGGACCTGTAGGGAATGAGGGTACTTGCGCAGAGATAACATTCGTCATCTTTACCAAACCCTGTCTTATGTTCCTTTTCCGTCCCTCCAGCCAGCCATTTTCTGAGACACACATAATATGGTACAAATTTCTATTAGGGATCATCAGTGGTAACAAAAAGTTATTCCGTACATCCCAAAATCATGTAATATGGAGAACCTACCCAACGTATCCAAACAATTTACTGTATATCCAATCAGGCAGGCCCTTGCACTAGATAATTGTTGGTAGACCGAAAAGCAATTGTACAATCAGCTTGTAACGTGTGGCTGCCTCTGCCAGTACAGGAGGGGAGAGCAGCGGGGATTGAAAGGGACACAGACCGCTGCAGCCAGCCCCAGCGGAGTAGAACGGAGGAGCAGAGCGGCGGCAGCAAATCATTATTGATTCTCATTATCGATTATAATCAATTTAATTGATTAGTTGTTGCAGCCCTACAAGGATGCAACTTGTAGTTTTAAAGTGACCCTGTCAATTGAGGAGAAAGAATAAAGCAAGACCATACCTGCAAGGAAAAAACAAAATACCTACCTCACTGTACTGCTAAACTCTGCTTTATGCTGTTAAATGGTCCCCCAAACCCTGCTGGGAAACCAACACTACCTCCTGCTGTCCTCCACTAATTACAGGAGACAGTAGTGACTTGGGGAGCAACAGGAACCAGTGAGAGCTGCAAAGTACCAGGAGATCAAAGTACCAGGAGATCCCAGAAGTGTCAGTTTCCCCAGCAGGGTTTTAAAGCTCCTGAAAGCAGGCCAAAAATATGTGTACTGATAAATCCGTCTTGTGGAGTTCATGAAGGGACACAGGATCAGTAAAATCTGAGACTACTTTGGGAGGAAAACAAAACACTGGCGATCAAAAAAAGGCATCGGCCAGCCCTTGCATCATGCTTCAGGTTTTTGGGGGTTTTTTTTTAACAAAAGCAGTATTTAGACTCACTAGACCATAAAACACAGAAAGGTGGGACCTGTACTCATCGTAAAATCTGTATCATGAAGATTAATAAAGCACATATGATTAGTAAACTCTGAGATGATTGGGATGTTAACCCATTCAGGGCAAAGAGTAATAGTCTGCCATGGTCATAAGGGGCAAGTCGCAGGCCTGGAGAGCGCTCTGTGGCGAACAAGAACAGTACCGAAGTATCGATAAGCACATTCCAGGCATTATGTGCCCCTGCTGGGGGCATACCTCAAAGGCAGTCTTTAGGAATCAGGATCACAACCCTGGACCTGCTCTGCGGCTAACAAACCAGTACACTAGGTGTTGGGGGAGCACTAAAAGAATATCCCTGTGCCAAAGGGTCACATTACAGGCAGGTCCCACATCATCATGACGGGGTTCAGGTACAGCTTTCAAGGTGACGCTGAGTATCAGCCGGTTCCGGTAGCTGCAACACAATGAAGAAAATATTATTTAAATAAAAATTATGGATGCACAGATACCGATACTAGTATCGGTGTCAGTGCCGATACTGAGTATTTGGGCGAGTACTCATACTAGCCCAAATGCTCCGATACCTTCCCCGATAACGAAACTTCCGACCGGCCGTGCCATAGGGGAAGATGGAGCCAGCTTCCTGTGCGATCAGGAAGCTGGGCGGCAAGAAATTATCCGCCTCCAAGCTTCCTGATTGGCCGTGAAGCCGGCTCCATGCTGACTGGCCAATTAGCAACGACTTGGCAAACAGCCGACTTGATGCTGATTGGCTGAGAAGCCGGCCTTCCAGCCAATCAGCATGAACCTGCTTCCCGGCCAATCAGGAAGCTGGAAGGCGGGTCAATACTCACCCCCTGGCTTCCTGATTGGCCAGGCAGCCAGCTCAATGCTGATTGTCTGGGAAGCCGGTTTCCCAGCCATGCTCAAACAGGTTAGACAACATGGAGCCAGCTTCTCTGGCAATCAGATTGTCCGGGGAGCTGGATCCATGGCAGTGGAAGCACCGGTATTGGTACTCGCTATCAATGAGTACCAAAAGCAAAGTATCAGTACTTGATAAAAAAAAACAAAAAAGAAAACGGTATTGGTGCATCCCTAATAAGAATGAAACATTGGGTATACCTTTCAACCAAGGAGAAAAGATAACTATCTTCCTAGGACAGTAGCAAAAAGCTGAAGCATCATGGGAGTGGGAGGGGTCATAGCTGGCTAGCCAATGGCTCCCTTGTTTGCCACTGTCCAATTCCTCCTAAAGACAGCAGTTAAACCCAATTGTCTCACATTCTATGAATCCCTTGTTGAATAGTTAAGAAATGTACATTTACATGGAAAGACAAACCGTTTCTGAAGGCTGCCAGCAAGAAAACAATTGTAAACTCCCAGGATCCCGCTGTGCAGTAGTGCTTTTTCACTATTTGCCTTTCCATGGTCATTTATACTTGGCCCAGCTTTCGGAAGTGACACTCAGACAGATCTAGCTTCAGGTATTGTTGGGCTCTTAGTTCTGCTTACCCAATTCCTGCTGTCCTCCCTCTAATGTCTGTCTCCTGGCTGGCACCCAACCTGGCATGGGGGTGCTAGGCGCCAGCCTCTCTTCTGATACAATGGATCTGAATGTGGTGGACTGGCAATAGGAGAAGAAGAGGGGTACTGGGATTCAATCGTTCAACTGCAGGAATCAGCATGTACAATAAAGTGATAGTTTGCTTCTGTGCAAGAGCCTCCTGTAATAGAGACCAGTTACTGATGCAGTCTCTTTCTGTGTAGGGTGGTTGGTCTTGTCTCCGCCCCTCTTGCAGTTCTCTGCAGGGAGTCTGTAGTGGCTCTGCTCATGTCATATACAGCACAGTGATGATGTCACCCTCTTCATTTGTCCCTGTGACCATTATCTCAGACCGTAAAAGAAAATCCCAAATTGTGAACAGTCACTACAACATGAATAGAGGAGAAATCTGCCAATGAGGATACTTGTTATAGAGGCCACCGTGGATTTCTTCTCACTTCCTGCCACTGCCATCGGATAGGAAGTTATGGGAAATCTCCCCAGTGCAATACAAATGGAAGAAAAAAGCTGACAGGGGTTATAACCCTCCCTTACTATATCCAAAATAAAAGAAAAACACATTTGGCCTTTAGTTCTACTTTTACAAAGGTAATATTTGGCTTTGCAGAGGCATCAAGTGCACACAAAGTGGCTCAATATCCATTGCGGCTATTGGGGAGTATATTTAAATGATGGTCCCTGTGCCTGGAGTTCAACTTCTATGAGATTTAGAGTTTGGGCTTACATACACCTTAACCCACAAGCAAAGTGACAAGAACTGCACACACCATTCAGAGGCATTTGTCTCTGGACACTGGGTAAAGCTGACACCGGCATGGAGCTCTTGTTTTCAATGTACCTTCACTGAATAGAACCGTTCACCTGAGCATCCCTGACACAGTATAAATTAGAGTCCAACTGCTGTTCTCTATTACCTGTCAGTGGGACTGACCCTGAATCCAAGATGGCGGCCTAGGCAGCGGCGGTGACGTTGGCTTCACATTCAGCTCCTGTTGCTGAAGCACGGAAATATGTTGGCACCGATTCCCCGGGTTACTGACTGGACGTGGGCTGCTGGCCACATACAAAACAATCCGTGCTGACCAACAGCGCGACCACCACACCGCAGGCCACGGCTAGAAGCCGGCTGGAGTCTTCCCTGTAAACTTCACTGACGTGGTAACGCAGCCTACCACGACACCTGGAAACCACAGCCCTACACCAATCACAGGCAGCTCATGGATGATAAGCAAGCCTGTTCTCCAATAAGCCGCAGAAAACCAATGGGAGGCGGGACCAATAGACATCGGTTTCGCTGTGTATGGAATGGTGGGTGTAGCAGTCGTGTGGGCGGGGTTATTATTGCGCAGAGCCAACCAGTCTTTGTGGATTGGTATACAAGGCAGTTCGCAATGTCAAAGGTCATGGCGGCTGTGACGTGGTAGTACACTACAGTCTGGAAGCTGGAAGTTTGGTTGAGCAGTTTGCTGGAGATACCTGGGAGATGTAGTGTTATTCCTCATCTCATTGGCACCCTGGTATAGATAAAGCACACAATGTATCAGCCTATCTCAACCTCTTCACCATGGAGGAACCCTTGAAATCTACAGCTTTCAGGAAACAAATAATGAAGATTGTTATAGCTACAGCTCATGTTGTATTAGCCTGATCAGTAAGTTGTAGATACACTATATTGCCAAAAGTATTGGGCTGCCTGCCTTTACAAGCACATTAACTTTAATGGCATTCCAGTCTTAGTCCGTAGGGTTTAATATTGAGTTGGCCCACCCTTGGCAGCTATAACAGCTTCAACTCTAATGGGAAGGCTTCCACAAGGTTTAGGAGTGTGTCTATGGGAATGTTTGACCATTCTTCCAGAAGCGCATTTGTGAGGTCAGGTACTGATGTTGGACGCAGGGGTGTGCGAGCTGTGCGGCCGCAAAATACTTACCGATCCTCCGTGTGAGAAGGACAAACAATGTAGCGATCGTCTGATCCCTCCAGTGTTTGTAACTAACTGGGGACACATAGCACTATGTGTCCCCAGTTATGAATGAACAGGCTGTGATTTACATTACAACCTGTTCATTCTGGATTTCCTCAATGGGGAGTAGCACTCTGTACAGAGGCTCCTCCCCATTCAGAAACTGTTGATAGTAAATATTTTACTATCAGTGTCTGAATGAATGGGAACCTCTGTACTGAGTGCTTCCCATTCATTGAGGGCTGAGACCGCAGAAAAAGAAATTGAGGACTTGGTGTCCTCAATTTCTATTTTAAAAGGGAAATGTCAGGGATCTGTTTAGACCCCTAATATTTCCCTGAAGCCCCCCCAACAGTAAAAAATAAATAAATTAATAAAAATATTTTAAAAATGTAAAAAATTATTTTACAAAAGTGAAAACTTGGCATGTTCTGGAGGCAGGGCGCATGACGTCATATAACACTGCACGTGTTGGGCGCTGCCATCTTGGTGTATATCTATGTATACACCAAGATGGCGGCGCCTATATATTGGCGTGTGGCGTCATGTAACGTCATGCTCCCCACCTCCAAGATGGTGGCACACATTCACAGAACACGCCGGTGACCAACATGGCCGCCGCACATTCTAAAACAAATTATTATGTGCCTGAATACATTTTTCGTATATTCGGACATATAGTAATTCATTAATTTTACATGTAGTCTAGGTTTTGTGTTCTGTTTTCTATTTTTACTTTTTCAAGTAGATATACTTACTTGAAAAAAGGGTCGGCATGACAACCTGACACTTTATTTGTACTCTATTTTAGACTCTATTTTAGTTTGACATTTATTGTTTGCCTTCTGTTGTTTTATTTGATAAGCATACTTATATTGTGCCGACAAGTTTAATGCCTTTGAATAAAAGTTTTATTTTTATCATACTTTTTAATATATTTTTGTTTGCGGCTTAACAAAATAGGAGTCTTTGAATGGTGTGGATATTGGGGGAAATGGGTGTGGTTACTGGTGGTGTGGCCACCAAAGGGTGTGGTCACTGAGGGGCGCTGTAAAGCTTTCTCGCACAGGGCGCCTAAATACCTAAGGCCGGCCCTGGCTCGCAATCTCCGCTCTAATTCATCCCAAAGGTGTTCTATCGGGCTTAGGTCAAGACTCTGTACAGGCCAGTCAACTTCCTCCACCCCAAACTTGGGCATCCATGTCTTTATGGACCTTGCTTTGTGCACTGGTGCGCAGTCATGTTGAAACAGGAAGGAGCCATCCCCAAACTGTTCCCACAAAGTTGGGAGCATGAAATTGTCCAAAATGTCTTGGTATGCCTTAAGAGTTCCCTTCACTGGAACTAAGGAGCCAAACCCAACCCCTGAAAAACAACCCCACACCATAATCCCCCCTCCACCAAACTTTACACTTAGCACAATGAAGTCAGGCAAGCACCGTTCTCCTGGCAAACTCCAAACCCAGATCTGTCCATCGGATTGCCAGACAGAGAAGCGTGAATCGTCACTCCAGAGAACACGTCTCAACTCCTCTAGAGTCCAGTGGCGGCGTGCTTTACACCACTGCACCCGACGCTTTGCATTGCACTTGGTGATGTAAGGCTTGGATGCAGCTGCTCGGCCATGGAAACCCATTCCATGAAGCTCTCTACGCACTGTTGTTGTGCCAATCTGAAGGCCACATGAAGTTTGGAGGTCTGTAGCTATTGAACAAACCCATACACATCCATCGGATTGCCAGACAAAGAAGCGTGATTCGTCCCTCCAGAGAACACGTCTCCACTTCTCTAGAGTCCAGTGGCAGCGTGCTTTACACCACTGCATCCGACGCTTTGCATTGCACTTGGTGATGTAAGGCTTGGATGCAGCTGCTTGGCCATGGAAACCCATTCTATGAAGCTCTCTACGCACTGTTGTTGTGCCAATCTGAAAGCCACACGAAGTTTGGAGGTCTCCAGCTATTGACTGTTGGCGACTTCTACGCACTGTGCGCTTCAGCATGCGCCGACCCCGCTCTGTCATTTTACGTGGCCTACCACTTCGTGGCTGAGTTGCTGTTGTTCCCAGTTGCTTCCACTTTGTTATAATAGCACTAACAGGTGACCGTGGAATATTTAGTAGCAAGGAAATTACACGGATGGACTTATTGCACATGTGGCAACCTATCACGGTACCACGCTTGAATTCACTGAGCTCCTGAGAGTGACCCATTCTTTCACAAATGTTTGTAGAAGCAGTCTGCATGCCTAGATGCTTGATCTTATACACCTGTTGCCATGGAGGTGATTGGAACATCCGAATCCAATGATTTGGAGGGGTGTCCCAATACTTTTGGCAATATAGTGTATAATAATATAGGAACAGATAATAAAACAGTGCCTCATTCTTTACACCCTCCTCCACCAAACGTCAACATTACTTTTAGTGTTAGAGAAACATCAGCCCCTTAATATACCCCTCCCAGTGCTCTTCGTCTACACTGTCATCTTCAAATATGCCTCAGCTCTCTGCCAGGTCTGCCACCTATGATACAGCCGCACACACTCCACACATGCGCACATATGCCATTGGTATCTTGGACCTTGTAGAGAACTGAAGTGTGTGCACACACCTCACATGTGTGCAGATGTGCTGTCGGTCTCTGCCTATTCCCAAATAGCGCCATGTCTGCACATGCGTGTAATCTCATGGCACGCATGAGCCCCTCAGTAAAACTGGTTCCTGGACTGTGTGATGGGAACATCCCAGAAGGCAGTGGGGGAGCTCCTATGTCTTTCTCACCTAAGCAAACAAAGAGGAAGTGCTGGGCTGCAGCCCCAAAAAAAGTTAAAAAACCTTTTAAAAAATGAGAAAACTTTCACTTGTAGAGAAGTGAGGGGGGAGACACCAGAAACAAAAATTTTATTTTTAACAAGTGAAGGTCCACTTTATGCAATAAAATATTAAGCAACCATCCATAATAAGACACTGGTTCAATAAAATGAATGGCATCAAACACATGGAGGACCTTACCAGCTCAATTAAGGGTATGGTTCAGATAAACATGGCCGTCACTAGAATTTATGAGGGTTGCAGAAAGTAGACCATTCCCAGGCACCCCACTGGCTTGTTGGCTCACATGTCTAGGGAATAGAGGGTTGTATACAGGATACCCAAAACAGCAGCAAAGAATTATCTAACCCCAGTAGATTCTTGTAGTATCTTTGAACTCTGCCACATTAGGTAGGTCAGGCAGATGGCTACCTTCAAGTATCTTCAGCCCCTCTCACAGGATAGTAATGAACCTTTAAGCCGGGATCAGCAATCTGACTGTAGTTGTGGATTTTTTTAGCCAGGGACGCCCACCGACATAACCGATCCAGGCGAACTCTCGCTGCAAATACACAGCTCTGACCCAAATGTCAACAAAGGGTGGAGCGAGTCGTGACACAACAGGACTTGTTCAGTAACAAATACCGCTTACTCATTCACAAGGGGGGGTGGCATTTGAGTGCCCCCTTCATAAAAGGGGACATCCATATTCCTATAAGCCCCCTGCCCAGACACACCCACAAACACTGGGCAGGGTTGTGGGGATGAGGCCTTTGTCCTCATCGACATGGGAACAAGGTACCCCCCTGGCAAAGGACCCTCCCCATGTTGAGGTCATGTGGCCTGATATGGTGCAGGGGGGGGGGGC